CTTCCAAACTGCTGTAATATTGATATTTTGACCGCTTTCCATGAGTCACAAGTGTTCTTAATTAATGGCATCTAGAATCCTCTCCCGAAAGTTTTCACTTTACTTTGCCCAGGTCCTTCAGAGGACTGCCTATGGCAGTTAGAGCCTTATGAAAAGTATTTCTTAAATAATAAGACTTGAAAGTCAAAATTACTCCCTGCAGAATGGATGTTGTATTCACAGGCATGAACACAACCATGATCTAATTGTACACTTCTATCAGAGCTCTTGGCTGTCTAGGTACACTGTCAATAGCAGCAACATTCTGAAAGGAATCTTTTTTTCTGAGCAGTAAGTCTCAGCAGTGGGCTTAAAATATTCGGTAAACCATGTAGTAAACAGATGTGCTGTCATCCAGGCTTTGTTGCTCCATTTATAGAACGCAGACAGAAGAGATTTAGCATAATTATTAAGGGCTCTCGGATTTCTGGAATGGTAAATGAGCACTGGCTTCATCTCACAGTCTCCAGCTGCATTAGCCTCTAATAAGACTGTCTTTTGAAGTCAGGCATTGACTCCTTCTTCCTAGCTATGAACATCCTAGATAGATATTTAATCCAAATTGAAAATCTGTTCTTTAGTGTAGCCACATTCATTAATTATCTTAGCTAGACCTTCTGGCTAACTAACGAGGCCTGTCCAGAAAGTATCCAGCCACATTATAGGAAAAATAGATATTTATTGACTAAGATACCAGAAACATTGCACACCGGGCAATGACACCTCAGTCCCCTAAAAAGTAGGCACCGTGGAACCTTACACAGTTCTCCCAATTGTCATCAGCTGCCCCATTGTATTTTCCTCAATCTCATTGATAGTCTGAAATCTCTTTTGAAGGTGTTTTAGTTTTGGGAAAAGCCAGAAGTCACCGGGTACCAAATCTGGGCTGTAGGGGGCCGCGTCACCTGGGTGGTTTGATGTTTCACCAGAAAACATCTTCATGAGATGTGATGCATGAGTGGGTGCATTGTCCTGATGAAGCTGCCAATCACCAGTTGCCCGTAGCTACCTTCTGAATCATCCAAATAGTTTCCATGGAAGAATGTTCAAGCTTAATACAAAATGTGATGTAGATTCGCTGCTCTACTCACTCAGTCATTTTGAGTGTGATGGACACCCAGTACACACGCTCACTGTGGGGGTGGGGGTATCTACCTAATTCATGGGTGTAAAGTCGTCATTGTTCTTGCATGCACATTGCAGCCCACTCTCCTTGGTTGCCAGGTTACATGGATGTCATGCAAACCATTTTCATTATATTAACAATGTTGGACTCTTTCTGGACAGACCTTGTACTGTAGTTTCTACATCAGCACTTGCTGCTTCACCTTGTACCTTTATATTAAGGAGATGGCTTCTTTCCTTAAACCTCATGAACCAGCCTTTGTAGCTTCAAACTTTTCTTCTGTAGCTTCCTCATCTCTCTCAGCCTTCACAAAATTCAAGAGAATTAGGAACTTGCTCTGGATTAGGCTTTGGTTTAAGGGAATATTGCAGTTGCTTTAATCTACTCAAAACAGTAAAACTCTATCCATATCCACAGTAAAGCTGTTTCATTGTCTTATCATTTGTGTGTTCACTGAGCGCACTTTTAATTTCTTTCAAGGACGCTTCCTTTGCATTTACAAGCTGGCTAATTTTTTGGCTCAAGGGGCCTTGCTTCCAGTCTAGCTTTCTTGGCTTATGATATGCCTTCCTGGCTAAGTTTAATCATTGCTAGCTTTTCATGGAAAGCGAGAGACCTGTGATTCTTCCTTTCACTTGAACATTTAGAGGCCATTATAGGATTATTAACTGGCTTAATTTAAATATTGTAGTGTCTCAGGGAATTGGAAGGCCCAGGGATGTGGGGGAATGGCCAGTCAGTGGAGCAGTCAGAACACACACAATTACTAGTTAAGTTCACTGTCTTATTTGGGTGTAATTCATGGAGCTCCAAAACAATTACAGTAGTAACATCAAAGACCAGTGATCACAGATCACCATAACATATATAACCATAATAAAAAAAAGTTCAAACATTACCAAAATGTGGCACAAAGACAAAGTGAGCAAATTCTGTTGAAAAAAAAATGGTACCAACAGATTTGCTCAATGCAGGGTTGTCACAAAGCTTCAATTTGTAAAAAACACAGTATCTGTGAAACGTAAAAGCAAAATGCAATAAAAGGAGCTTTGTCTGTAACATCATTTTTGTGGGGTAGAAGAGAGTAAAATACATGAAATATTTCAAATTGTAATACTTTATTTTCAATCTTAAGGGAAATTATACACTCAGTATAAACCTTTTAATATAGCTTTACTGATTCTTTCTCCATATGTCTAAAAAAATTTGAACATACACAAAAGTATGAAACTGAATAATGAACTACACGAATCCATCTCCCAGCTTCGAATGTTATCCACATTTTGAGTTTTTTGTTTTATCTATTGAGCCTTTTCCTTCTCTTCCTTATGGAATATTTAAAGCAAATTGTACACATCATACCATTTCACATCGCAAGCATTTCAATATTTAAGTCTTTTTCTCAATATTAGGTAAGTTTTTAAAAAATTGCTTCATGCAAAGTTAAATACCATTAAAATTTAATTTAATTACTTAATTTAATTTCCTATAATTCCCCTCCTACAATTTGTATAGGAGTGTGTGTCCATTTAGGAATTACTATTTAAATTACCTAATGTGCACCAAGGTGTTTTTTTTTACCTCGAATATCTAGTTTTATTTTTTTATTGTATTTTTTTCCATTACCATTTAGCCCCCTTTTACCTCCTCCCCCTGCAATTGCCACATTGTTGTCTATGTCCATGAGGCCTTTTGACTTTTTGCTCCATGCTCACCCAAGGACAATTTTTCATTTCTTTCAGAGAGAGGGGAAGAAGAAAGGAAGGGAGGGAGAGAAACAATGATGGGAGAAAGAGAAACAATGATGCAAGAGAAAAACTTCAATTAGTTGCCTTGTATGCTCCAGGATGGGAATCATTTTGCGCCTGGACTGGGATTGAACCTATGACCCAGGTGGGCATTGAAGCTGCAACCATTCAGCTACGGGAATGATGCTCCTACCAACTGAGCCACACTGGCCAGGGCCAAAGTAGTTTTTTAAAAAAGTAATACACTAACAAGTTTATATGAATTTTAGTATTTTATCTTTTAAGAAATATTTCGGTAGCTTATTCTGCAATTAAAGCAAAGACAAGGGATCTATAATGTATAAGTGAACAGAGGTTCATTTGCTATTTTATATATTTATTTATACAGCCTTCCATGGTTTCACCTTGCAGTGTGCTGCCGGTTTGTAGTTTTCAAGAGCTGCCTGGTAAATTTTTAGGAATTTTGTGAGCTGGTTGTTAAATATCACCATTGTTAAAACTTTGATTCAAAAGAAAATAAATTCTATTGAAAAAGAAATAAATACTAAAAAAAATTCATCAATTTTTAATTATTTTACTATACTTCACTGTTACCTATGCTGTTTTGCTCACACATGTCTATTGTATTTGCATAGCGGAAGCGCTATGAAATGGTGTGCTCCTGAACATCTTTTCTCTGCTTCTTGTTCCCTAACATATTGTTGGCAGCTTGAAGTTAGTCATGGTTGGAATATTTTTCCCACAGAAGCAAATGCTACAAATCAGAACCGTTCCTCACACCCCTCCCTGGGGGGCTGGTTGTTCAGCTTTGCCAGCACGGCTCTGCGTCCATCCTGAGCCTTAACTATGTGTCAGGCACTGCAGTACTGTAAAACATTTCTGATCTTCTAAAATTTGAGCAGAAAGATCCTTCTGATGTTATAAGATTAATAGCATTTTAATAGAGGGCACTATAAAGACAAATGTAAAAGGCAGGTCCTTAAGAAAACAAATGAAGAATATATGTTATGTATTAACACTTCTTAATATATGACTTTAAAAGGAACACTAGTGAAGTGGCATTTATGCTTTTAATTATTTTACTATTTGAATGTAAGAAGTATAGAAAAATGTAATTAGATGTTGACTTAAGTAATAAGAGAATTGAACATACTATGTAAAACTTATATACAACCTTTGAACAACATGGGTTTGATGTGTGGGTTTGCTTGTGTGCAACTTTTTTCAATAAATATATAGTGAGCCCTCCTTATCCCTGAGTTCCATATCCCTGGATTTCACATCCCCTCTTGGGAATCTGTGGTTCCAAGGGGCAACTGAATGTACTGTTCTGTGACCTTTCATAAGGGGACTTGAACATCTGTGGATTTTGGTATCTGTGTGTGTGTGGGGGGGGGGCGGCGGCGGTGGAGTCCTGTTACCAATTCCTAGCAGTTACCGAGGGACAAGTATATATAATAAAGTTTTTTTGGGGGTGTGTGAATTGTGACATGTGGATTTTCCACTGTGGAAAGGGGGGTTCTGTATCCTTGACCCCTGCATTGTTCAAGGTTCAACCATATTTTCTTTAAAGAATACAATATTAGGCTAAGGAAAATTAAAAAAATATAAATTTCATTAAAAAATATACATAATTTGGGAACTATCATATACCAAAGAATGTGAGAGTTTAAGTGTATGCCAAGTTAAGTGTGTTTAGTAGATAAGTGACTTTTTTTAATCAAAGGAGTCAAAAAGCAAATCTATTACAGTATTTTAAAAATGAGGCTTTAGTTAAAAACATAAAATGCCACTAAAATTTGTTAAACTTGTTTTGCCAGTTGATATTCCCAGAAATCAGAGCTCAGTCTGTCTAGCCTGCATTTATATTTAGTCTGGGCATTTAATCTCTCTTTTGATCTTTGTTTCGCCATATACTGTAAGTTGTTTCACAAGGCTTTAACATTAAGTTAGTTTCATAAATTGTAAAATCATTTTGTACTACTCAACAGCTTATTTTAAGGCTGCTCAGAAAATACACAAAGGAGTAACGAAGAATTAAAATGAACATTGTGATTCATTATATGTGTTTCTTTAAAGTTATTTACCTCTTGTGAAAGCTGTGTTACTTGGTCCTTTTGACGTTCCAGGTCTTTTAAAACTGACGAGTTTTGTTTTTCTAATTGAAGTACTCTTCTTGCCAAGTGGACACTAGACAAAAGAAATAAAAAAATAATAATATTAGAAAAGGGGAATGCTATCTAAAATATCCAAAATTTGTCTGCTTGGAAATTGACTTACCATTTCCTAATAATGCTTACATATTAACGGATGAAATATGTAGTCAAATAGTATTTTCAGATGTCAACAGTAAAGACTAATATTCCCACAATTCACAATTTTGAAAGTAACATTAAAATCTCCAAAATCACATAACTGATATATTGATTAGAACAGTAATGGTTTCTACCCTTGTTACATTATGAAACTTGGTTGAAAAGACCACAAGATAGCAATTTACAGCTTTACTCAATTTTTATAAAAATTTCCCATTTATGAACAAATCAAACAATTAGTTGAAACAATAATAAGCTGCGCTTTGAAAAGAATCAGTGTTTACTTCAGGCATCACGATGCATTTTATAATACAAAACAATAGACTTTCTCTTGAAACTAGAGGTGGAAAAGATGTATAAAAAGTGAAAATGTCTATTGTACTGAGTGTAACCTTTAAATTTGGGTTGCCTTAAGAATTTGAACTCACATGAAATGTGAAATGTCCTAATTCCATTTTAAGACACAAAATTAAAAAAAAAGTTCAGCTATAAAATCATTTCTCCTAATTACTGAGGGGAGGGGGAATAGCATAATTGTTTAAAAACTACTAATTATGTTGAGAAAATAAGTTGTTCCAAAGACCGTCCCTGTAATTCCAAACACTTAAAAATTTCATATTTATCACATTTTCATTTGCTGAGTTGACCTATTAATATCTCATTTGCAAAATCCCTTGGAATCCAAGAAGACAGGATGTTTTACCACGACAAGAAGCACAGTATCTTCTTACTTAGTAAAACTATAGGACAAAAACAATTCCATTGTATTTTTAGTATTTTCTAACATAAGGTAAAGGAATGCATAAAAAACGCTGCAAATAATGCTAACTATCATCTTACACAACTATTTCTAAGAACTTTTCTTGCTTTTCCAAATAAAAACGATGAGCTCTGGTAAAAGTTTATAAAGTAAATTAGGTAGCTTACTTAGATATGCTGATTTCTAAGTTTCTATCTTTTCAACTGGCATATGATTTTGCCTTAATAATCAGCTGAAGTTAGAGGTGGAAAAGACAGAGTCCCTGTTTTTTGACAATCATTTTTTATAAAAAACATCTTTACGGATATAAAGTTTTATTGATATGTAATTTATATACCATGAAGTCCACCCACTTAAAGTGTACACCTCAGTGGTATTTTGTATATTTAAAGTTGGTCAACGATCGCTATAACCTAACTGTAGAACATTTTTATTAGGCCCCAAAGAAAATCTGTACCCAGTGGCGTCACCCTCCAGCCTCCCTGCCCAGACCGAGGAACCACTGTCTTCTTTTACAAATTTTTTTAAGGTGTTTACAGTTTTTGGATAGCCCATTCTCTATCCCCTAACCTAAAATACACCAAGTTCTCTTAAATTTGACCGTAAAATAAGATCTCTACAAATAAAATAAGCATTCATGGTAATTTTATATTAAGTTTACATTTTAAGTCTTTTGATTACATGTTTGCAAACATCTGTATTTAATATTATTAGCTATTTTTTAGGTTAACTTAAAAATCTTGACGTTATCTTCATTCATATTTTCATTCTCTCATCCTTCACATGTGGTCAGAAGAAGTCTTCATCTTTCTGTCTCCCGTAAAACAGCATTAGGGTCTTTTTGTATGTAATAATTTCTCAATAAATATACATTTAAAGTATAGACAGACCATACTTGCATAATGCTCAGCACAGAAAAATGAATAACATCAAATGCTATTGCACAGAATCAGTTACAGATTAAATGAAATGGAAGAAAAAGGGATGCAAGAGAACAATGAGATACAAAGGTCATCTATTTACCAAGATTCTGAAGAAGACAATGACTTGAAGTTTAAAAATATTATGTAGCTCATAGGGTTTGAAAGCTTTTTGTTTCGTTTGGAAACTGCATAGTGCTCTTACACAAATATGGTGTGGTACCACTTACCAATGTAAAACATCACATGACAAACACAGTAAATTCAAGAAATTCTTTTTTTTTTAAATCCTCCCCTGAGAAAGTGCTTATTGATTTTAGAGGGAGGGGAGAGAGGGAGAGAAACATCGATGTGAGAAAGAAACATTGATTGGCTGCCTCTCACCCATGTCGTGACTGGGGACCAAACCCACAGCCTAGGTTTGTGCCCTGACCAGGAATGAAACCCAAGACACCTTTTGGTTTACCGTTTACCAGATGACATTCCAACCAACAGAACCGTACTGGCCAGGGCTGAAGAAATTCTCAGCATACTGGTGCTTAAGTCCTTATATCAGGGCTACCTCCTCTTACTAAGAATTTCCCTGATTTTGATTGGAGGATTCTGAATGAGAAAAATCAACTGTAAATAGCAGGGAGACATCTTAGGATTTTTTGAAATGGCTCATAAAAGTGTTCTACAGTGTTCTGATTACTAGCATATGGTACTATGTTACTGAGAAAAACTTCTAGGAACTGGTGCTGTGGGGAATGATTGTGACTATCATTATGAATGTTGGTGTCTTTTATGACGCATAAGGGTTATAATAAGAAAGACACTATGATACCACTGGTCTCCATTTGATGCATTGATCATGTTTTAAAAATTCATTTTTAAGTCAGTTATAAGGATAGCAGAATACATCTCACAGATATATCAGAAACAATTTTAAGGTCTCAGGTTGCTCTAAATGACCCATTTCACCCATGATGTCATAGGGGGGAAAAGGAAACAAGAAGAATAAGAATAAAACATAATAATTTTTTCTTTGAAAGTTTTATATTTAAGCACAGAGAACACACAGGAAAAACAAGAAGTATAATTTTTTATCATTATAATACTGCAATTAAACAAAAATGATAAGGAAATTAGCAATTTCTTTTTGATCATCAATACCAATGACTGAAGAAAAGCAGGTTGAATTAGAACATTCATTAATGAATTCAATAAGATATTCATGAGTGCTTTCTTTTAGCAAACATTTATTAAGTCTATAACCTATATAGTTATTGGGAATACACAATTTCTACTGCAGGGTATAACATTCTACTGAGAAAGATAGGCGAATAAAAAAATTATTGTACTATGCTAAATTCTATGAAAGGTCACTCAGGAAAGAAAACTAATACTTATTAGTCTGGTAAGAAAGCAGAGAAATAGCATCCTGGGTAGAGGCAAAAGCCTAAGTAAAGGATGATCTGCTGGAGAAAAACTATAAGCAGTATGTTATTGATGGATAAAACATACAGCATGTAGTGAGGGTTGAAGCTAGAGAGAGATCGGCAGGGATATATGATGAAAGGCCTTGCATGACAAGCTGAGTTTAAATTTTATCCTTAAGTTGGTTAGGCGTGACGTGATCAGGCCTGCACTTGAAAGAGTCCTCTATCAATATTGTGGAGGATGGCTCAGAGAAGGAAGAACATGGGCCCATTGAAAGGCTTATCGTTTAGACCGGTGGTCTCCAAAAGTAGTTACATGCAAAAAAATCTGTTGGAGTGTGGGAAATACTATTTACATTTATTTTACTATTCTGTATCTTCAGGTTTTAATTTTCTGTGTAGGTTTCACATTATAATATGTACTGTATTGCTTACATGGTAATACATACATGTAACCTATAAATATAAATACATGTTTATCAATGAGTGCATGCTCAATTTTTTTCCCACAAGGGATTTATATCAAAAAGTTTGGAGAGCACTTTCTAGACTGATTTTGTCCAACAGAAATATAGTGTAAGCCACACATGTAATATAAAATTTTCTAGTAGTTACATTAAAAATAGTACAAAGCCCTTATTGCATATGAAATGAAAAAAATTACTCAAAGTAGATCAAAGACCTAAATATAAGAGCTAAAACAGAGAGGTAAATCTTCATTCATGTGCATTTGGCAAAGGATTTTTAGATATGGTACCAAAAGTACAAACAGCAAAAGGAAAATTAGATAAACTAAACTGCATGAAAACTGTAATTTGTGCTTCAAAAGACACTATCAAGAGAGTGAAAAGGCAACCCATGGAATAGGAGAAAAATGTCAAATATGTATCTTAATAAGGGTCTTGTAGACCCAAATTAGAGCATTCACAACAGTGGCTTGCCTATGCAAAGTTCTAAATAATTGCATGCATACAAGTTTGCACTCCTGGTACTGTGAGCTCCTTGGAGAGCATTATGACTGGGTTAGAACACATTTGCATTATAAATTTCCACACATTCCTCTTGAAAGGTTGTACAAATTTATATTCTCATAAACTAGTATAAATTCTCCAAGGACAGGCATTTTTGTTTATTTTGTTCTCTAATGTATTCTAAGTGTCTTGAATAACACTTGGTACAATAATTACTTGTTCAATAATAAACTATTGAATGAGTGAATTTTATATAAGACCTCCAGTTTGCTTTATACCCTAACCGGCACTGGATATCATCAATCTTTAAAAGTTTTCTTAACCTTATAAATAAACAATAGAATATTATTTTAAATTAAAGTTATTTATTTGTGAGGTTAAAGAGCTTCTTACATGTTTGTCACACATTTGTATTTCTTATTTGAGTTGATGTTTATACCCTTTCTTCACCCACTTCCAATCTTACCTATATGGTTAATTCTATTAAATTATTTAAAATTATCAAGGCCTTCTACACTATCAAATGAATCAACTTTATTTCCCACTAGTATCTACTCTACTTAATGTCCACAAACATGGTTTGTATATTTCTTCCACCAAACCTCTACTGTTCCCCCAGCCTGAAGAAGATAGGGTATTCCACTGCCTGGGAGCCCCCTTTTACTTAAAGATGCCCTCCAAGTTCTGCTTCCTCCACTTCTAACCAGCCTTCACTGATCTCTTTTTCTACAACACAGTGCAGCACCAAAATGATAAATTTCTGGATGTTTCTTGATTATTTTTTCATGTGTGTATATCTTTTC